TTGCACAGCTGAAAGTTAAATAGACAGTTTTACAATAAGAACTGTGATTAGTGAAACTTCCATAATTAATAATGTGTTGTGATAATATTACAAATATTTTACTATATGATTTTTTTTAATTTCATTTTTTTAATTTTTTAAAAATGTCTACAAATCTACAAATCTACAAATTTATTGAAATTTGCAAGTTTTAATCAAATTTTAAAAAATATTTAATTTGTTGATAAATCATTTTTACAATAAAAATATTTTGATTCGGATATCAAGATTTTTAATTTGATTTAATATATTATTTGTATTATTTTACAACCTTATATATCAACAAAACAATTTTATGAAATTTAGTTATATTTCAGTTAACCCTTTCGCTGTAAAGAGCATACATTTATGTCTTTAACAAGCGAGCGACTATTTAATGTACATATATAAGAACGTCTATATTTCTATTCCCTCCAGTTTTCAACATTTGTAATAAAAAATTTATATATCACAAAAGGTATTTATAATTAGATAATTACAGGCAAGTTAAAAAAAAAAATCATTTCGAATAATGAAATAAAATGTTTATAGTTCCCTCTTGTAAAAATTCTTATTAACATTGTTTACACCTGAAATATGTACCTTCTGCATACGAGCATGCCGTAGCGAAAGGGTTTAAGTCAACATTGCATTTGTAAGCAAACTTTTGAAAAGATCATTATCAATATAACTTATGATTTGTTATTACTCAATTATACATTTTTACCATTTTTAACATTCAGTTTATCAAATGATTTAATGTAATCACATGTGTAGACATGTGTATACATATTTGTACATTATTCAAAAACTGTTTGAAATCTATTCTTGGTACATGTTAAGTTTTAACAAAATTTTATTTTTTGTTGTAGCTGCAACAAAAAGAAATACACAACATGCGCGTTCGCCCGCAAAAAGCACACACACATACACATCTTTTATGAAATAGATTACAACACATTATATCGCTATTGGAACACATAATCTTTGTAAATAAAAGACCAGGATAAATTTCTGCATCATTACATTAACTTGACAGCAGAATAACAACGAATTTCGCGTTGAATGAAATAAAGAAATCCGTTCAACATTTTGTGATTGGCCTAATAATAAAATAACATGTAAAAAAGATCAAAATACTATATCACGATCTATAAGAATTATGCATAAAGAATTCATATATAATCTTTAACGTTGTAATTGCTGTAAATTAGATTTTATACATTTGAATCATGTAATCACAAGAATAAGATAAATCAAAATTTGTAGTAATATTTACGATACAGTTATTGTCGAGAAATCTATTTGAGAAGTCGGTTTGAATGAGACTTGTACATTAGTTGTGTGATGAAATAAATACTTCTGAGACTTTGTTTTTTAATGCTTCATTTTTTTTAATCGTAGTTCTATCCGCGCGCGTGATTAGGTAGAAATATATTATGTAAATAACAGATTGATATCAAATCTATATAAAATCTATATAAAATGTATATTCTGTCGATGTTAAAATTTTTTTATCTAAACGTACAACATAATAGAAATTGTTCTTTTAACGGAGGCAGAAGACACATCTGCTGAACATATGATGCAGGATGCAGGAAACATCTTGTTAAAGTACTTAGTCGTAACTAAAACTTCCATTCGTAAGGCAGATGTGAATGCCATTGGAAGGAGAATCCCCACCAAGTAGGACGAGAGATGAAAGTTTCCGCGTCGTATAATCGATAACAGCTCTGCAGCTCTCATAGTACGCGTATGTAATTCAAGAACTCGAGAAAGAGTGTTGCGTGCACAAGCAATGTAAATATGGACTATATTATTTATCGTTTGTATTATTTATATTTTAAACCGGTGATTTGCATAAAGATTACCGGACCATTGTGAGAAATGACAACGAAATATTTTTTTTTGTGTGGAATCTTGAATTTATAATTCAGATCTTCTGTAATCTTTTCTGGCAATGTAAACAACAAAGCCACATCAAGGTTTAAAGCAAATGATTCATATATGTACAAATATGCGGCGATGATAATAAATGTAAGTATCAGCGCGCAATGTTGGCACTACATTATAAGAGAGTATTAAAACGGAATACAAGTGGCAGCGCTATATTACAGTAATTATCATCATAATTAATTGATATTTATATATTGTCGAGACCAATTGAAATGCACGTTATTACACCGCATAGTACAAGAGTGAGTGGAATATTAAAAATATGAATTATATTCCGTATATTATATACATCAAAGTGAAAAATAAATTTAACTAATATCTACATTAAAAAAGTACAAATTCGAATAACTCTATTTAGCTTTCTATAAAGTTAAATAGGCGAATAAAGAATGAAATGAAAAGCGGAAATAAACGGATGACAAATTAATCAAGATCAAGGATTTATCTACATTACTTTAGAATGGTATCGCCAAAAAATATTGAAGAATTTATAGAAAAAGTATTTTTTAAATTAACTGAAAATTATATCCAACAAGGGGCTGTGATAAATGATTTAAAATCTATTACTATGACTGCTAATTCAAAAAGTGCCAAGAATCGTAGTTTCAGAAGGTGTTCGAAGAAATTGCTGGTGATGTTATTAATGCCATTTCTTTACGGCATGTTTAATAGATATGTTTACAATAATATAATTAAGAATTTTCAAGGAACTCGATGCTTACTACCGAACAATTATCTTATCTGGGAGTTTACAAGACCGATAACTAATTGCGATTACTGTCGCGACATCAAAACGCCGCTAATCTTGCCGAATTTGACTAAAGAGGAATTCCGCTTTTATTCCTATTCGTCCCGACCTATGATAATAAAGAATGCAGCCTATGATTGGCCTGCGCATAAAGAATTTACTTTGGACTTTTTTCGGAACTTGTACGAGCGTATTGAGGGTGCCTACGAATCAATAGAGGAGGAATGTCAGTTTTTGCATTTTAAAAGTAATTTCGCAAACCTGCGCGAGGTATTTGCGATGAGTGAAGATCGAGCGTCACATCGCGAGGGTGAAGATCCTTGGTATGTCGGCTGGAAAAATTGTCATCCACAAATTCTAGATATCATGAAGCAATTTTACAATATACCTCACTTTTTGCCGGATGATGCGGAAATTCCTTATAGCAATTACATTTTCATGGGCTATGAGGAAGGTGCCGTTATGCATGTAAGTTTTGTAGCCGAACCATCTATTTATATATTGGCATTGCAAAAATGTGTCATCAAGATACTTACAAATCTTTTTTCAATTCTGTTTTATAGTTGGATTACATATCGAGACTCATGTGGCAAGCTCAAGTAATAGGTAGCAAAACGTGGACCGTGGCTCCAACACCGGAATGCGATAGCGAATGTAAATCTTTTAAATTTTCCGTCAATGTAACGGATATCGTACTATTGGATACGCGGATTTGGTATCACAGTACTCACATCGAAAATGGAAAACTTAGTTTGACAGTCACCTCAGAATACGGATAGACTTTTAAAACTTTTTACGTATTCCAGAGCATAATCTATAACGTACAAAAATGGCTTGGATAGGATTCTAAGCAGTTGTTTTTTTATCTTTTTGCGAATATCGATTGGAGAAATTGGATACAATATATGCCTTTTAACGTCTATTATGCCATTATTCGATGTTTTTCGATTTTTTGTTATTGTAACGAATAAAATTATATTGTTAAATGATAAGATTTGAACACATTTTCAATGAATAGCTATTGAGTTCACACAAGAGAATATTGTCTTCTAATATCTAAACTATTTGTTATTGAATATTGTAAATTCATCTCCTTTTCCCCTATTAGAAGACTACATAAGTTTCATAAAAAATATATTCAAAGATTGATACTGATCTTTGTTTTGATGCTTGACTATGTTTATAGTATCGCAATTAATATATTTTTTTATAACTTTCAATAAGGATTTAAAAAATTTATAATAAATTCATGGTTATACAAATCATTTTTACGTATTTACATATGTGTAAACATTTATTTCATAATTATATAGACTCGTGTGAAACACAACAATACAATTGTTTTTAAGAGATAACATGTACAAGAAATTATTGTTAATATATATTCGCGTTAATACATAGCAATATTGTTGCAGGAGTATCTGCAGTAATACCTGTGTAACCTGTGCTTTAATATTGCATAGCTATAATGAGAAAAACTTGGTGTACCTTTAACCATCAACTTGAATCTATGTATCCAGATTCAAGAGTTGTAACAAACATTGACAGTTTGTTACGTTAAATGCGCGACAGCATACAAATTTGCAGTATTTACCTAAAGTGGAATGTATATCGATTACACTATATAGTTCGCTTGTGTAATGCGATATATTTTCACTGATATTTCTTCGTGTAGGCTGGTGGACTTTCCTGAAATATATCAACAAACATTATTATTATGTATTTATACATAGAATTCTATATATATAATGACCCGTATTCAAAACGCATTTTTATCAATAAGTACGCGTTAACATCATGAAGGCAATTTGAACATAGATGCATTTGTTAAAATTACAATTTCAAATATACCTTTCTATATAACATGTATGAGAAATGCCCAATCTATATAGAAAAAAATAAAAATTCTATCCCTAATCTATATAATGCTAAGTATTTATGATTATCATGTTGTGTGCCATAGATAAGACAATCTGTATTGTTGGCGATAAAAAGTACAATACAAATGGAGGTTGATAAAAATGAAGAAAAATGAGATAAAATATCCCATTTTATCAAGTACATTAAAGAAACAGAAATATTAAAAAACAAAAAAAATATTTTTAGAAAAAGAAACAATTTTATGAATAGAATTTTATAATTTTATATATTTTATTAATTTATATTTATATTTTTATAAATAAAAATTAAAATATACATTTTGTTTTTTTTTTAATACTGCAGATTCATAAACTTTTGAATATCACCATAAATATTTTGTAATTAAAACATAACTTACGTAATATTCTGGTGGTGGAACATAAGCGCATTGAGGTCTATTAGGATCATAATATGCGCTCTGCGCAGCTTCAGCAGCCTTTGCATCTGATAAAAAAATGGCAATGTGGAATAATATATTTCAATACAAGTTAAAAATAAGATGTCACATTATTACCGTACCAAAAATTTTAATGACATTTTTTGTTAAATTGAAAAACACGGGTTTCTTAACAAAATGTCAATTTTTTTAACTATAACGAAAATAGTTAGCGTCTTACAAATTAATTATGGAGGTGCTTATGGCAACAATAGTATTTATTAAAAAAAATTTAGCTATGTATAAAAGAGATTTAGTGCAAAAGTTAAAAAATAGCAAACTATTATTTTTCATATTTTTTATTTCATGTTAAATATCAGATTAAAAATCGTCAGCGGTTTTAAGTTTTAAGTATATCATTAAAACTTAATGTAACGACGATAAATTATACATAATTATGTATTTTTTATAGCGTTCTTATTATAGTATCATTCTATTATAGTATCAATATTAAAATACATACAAACATAATTCCTGTTTGATGTTTTGAATTTATTTTGTTCTGGCATTATTTTATATATCAAGTTTTAATCGTTTCCTAATTGCAAAACGCGTGATAAACAATGAAATATTTATCTATGCACTCATATATATCTGAAAAATTATATTTGAAATACACAACATAAATGGGTAATATAACACGAATTAAAAATGACTTGAAGCACACAGTCTGCTAAATCTGTCTGCCCAAGCCGTTTACTGATCTACTGACAACTACGAGATAATAATTGAGTGAAGTGAAAGCCAATCTCATTTCAGATCGAGTAAGGACATGTTACACAACCGTATTGCTTAATATTTCAAACTTTCAAATTTAGTGAGTATGCACATTAATTCTTTAGCTGTCTTTCCATTTAAAAATGAAATCTTGAATTGATAGGTTTGAATAAAAACAGTAAAAATTGTCTTTAATCAATATTTAATATTATATTATATATGTATATATATATATATTAATATAGTACACGTTTAATATATATAACGTACACTATATATAACTTTGCGGAATCAACGCACGATGACTGTTTATATTCAATACAATTGCGAAAAGCATATTTTTAAACGATTTTTACTAAACTATTTGATATTTAGAAAAATATACATATTGCACAAGCGTATATATTATTCGCAAAGAATGTTTAGCGCATTTTCTTTTGTAATTTTTTCGAAGTTTATTAAGTTACTTATCATAATTTATAATTTTGATATATATATATATATATATATATATATGTATATATATATATATATATGTATGTACATATATGTATATATATAATTTACAACACATATACAGGTATATATACATATATATGTATTTATTATAACTCTTAGTAGTGATGTGGGTATGGATTATAAGATCCCGGCTGCTGATTGTAAGGTCCAGGCTGCGTATAAACGTTTTGCGGATATGCCGAATACGGTGGTGGATTAGGCGAATAACCGCTATAAGGTGGTTGTCCATAACCACCAGGATACGCACCTGCATGGGACATCGGCTGACTATTGTAATTTGGATTGGCCCATCCGGGAGGAGCTCCTGGTTGTCCTACTGCGGCTCCGGCGCCTTGATGTTGTGGGCCGCTCGCGTATCCGTATCCAGGCTGTATTCCGGGATACGGTGGCGGACTGTCTGTCATAAAGACTGTATTTCCTAGAAAAGAAGCAATATGAATTTTATATACAATGAGCTTTTAAAATTGTTCAATACAAGTGTATTCTAAAATGATGAAGGAAATGAAATCTCATTATATGTTAATGTTTCAGAACTGTATACAAGATTGACTACTGATATGAATTTTTACAACTTTTAAGTTTCAATATATATTATAATATGACAAAGTATACGCTTGTAATATTATTTTAATATTGAAACCAAAAAATTTTTTCTTGTGCATATGCATCAAGTATGCTAAATAGAAGTATATATGTTGTTTATTTTACTTTGGATAGCAAGCTAAATCTTGCTATGAGAATAGCGCAATAAAAGATTGCATTATAGAATTACTTGCGTAAGAAAGATTATGATCCTGAGTATAATTGCATTATACTCAGGATCATAATCTTTCTTATGCAAGTAAATCAATAACTTTGGAGATATCAAATCAATATAGGAAATTAAAAAGCCAATATTAACCTGGTGGAACATCTGGGAATACATTAGTTGGAGGCATCCATCCATAGTATCCAGTTGGAGGAGGTTGATAAGCTGAAGGTTGTGCCGGATACCAATCAGACAATGGAGGCGTATATGGTGGTGGTGCATCATTTACTGGACCATTGCGTTGAGCTAAAAATCATGAATATAATGAAGACATTTTATATCTTGCTAAAGTCAAGCTAAATTGATAAATTTGTCTTTAGTGTATAATAATTATTAATCTTGTGTCATGTTTTTGATATATAAAACATATAAATGTACATATATTTTGATATGGAAAATACATAGCTTAATATACTGAAATATTTCCAACTGTGTAAAATACACACTTTGCATCAATTATATTTATCTTACCCATTGCAGCAGCTCTCAGCAAAGCTTGAGCAAATTCCACTGCGCCACCACTCTTGAATCTCAATTTAAATTTGCATTCTCCAATCCAATTACCATTTGGCTGAGCACGGCATTTGCCTCCTATATAATTAGCACCAAAAACTGGCTGTTCCAGTCCTACTTCGCTCAGTGTAATAAATGGAAAACTAAATGACTGCATTTTTTCTTTGTGATCTTTAGCATTAAAGATCATTCTATGTGTTGTCAAGTACAATCTGCCATGCTTTTTTCCAATAAATTCTGGTTGTTCTTGTCCATGAAATTCCATATTGACATTGTCACAGAAGAGTATGATGCTAGAGATAATTAAATATTAAAAGTTAGTTGTATTATTGCAAGATATTGTGCAAGTTTTATATTAATTTAATTGGTACAGGTATTGCAAATGTGATTCCGTGGACGGAATGGGTAATTCATTCGAATAATTAAAATTAAACGCGATTGTGTAATTACACATTTGTGATAAAGTAACAAGGATTTGGAACAATTGTAGGCAGAAAGCTATGATGGTATTGCACAGCAGAAGTCATATCGAAATTCAAAATAGATAATTTTACGATTAACATAAATTTCATTATGCAATATATGAATGAAAATAGCAAATTATTTAAATAGGTTTTCATTGCTTACCACTCGCCAGAATGAAGAAGAACTCCGCCGTTGGTGTGTGCCGTATTCAATGACATATTCTCCTCGAATTAACGTTTGTGATGAATGACAAAACTGCAACGAACGTTGATAAACGTCGTTGATATCTGTCGATGATTGAGTCTCTTCCAGACTCTCCTCTTAGAAACTGCTGGAAAACGAGATTATTCAGAGTGATGTTACGATATCACTTCCAGATGATAAATGGCGAATAAATGAGATAGTGTGTAATAATGTGGCGTATTAAGGCGATTTATTGATAATAGCCATGTTGTTTTTCGGCTATTTCTGATTGGTGAACTAATAGTTCCACAATGTTCTCAGTATCGTGGCCAATTTTTGATTGGTGATTGTCGCACGTCCATTTCATTTCGACGTTTTTGATTAGTGTCCCTAGAAGTAGAGAGAGCGAAACTAGCCATTCGGGGGTTTCACGTGATTGGTGTCACGTGATTTGTGTTCACCAAGTTGTGTTCCAAAACTCGACTTTGTTAACCTTGGGCGTGTTCAGATTCCCATCTAGGAATCATGTCATCCTTGTTTAACTTTCGGTAAACAATAAGGATAGGTGATACTTGGGTGGCACTCTCAGGTGGGAATCTGAACACAGTCCCGAATAACATTGGTTTTTCCAACATAAACGGTTTCTTCTACCAATATTCTCTAACAGGCTCTTAATAGTGAGATATCGATTCTAAAAAATCGATTCTCAGAATCGATTCTTTCTTTTAGGTTCGATTCTTAACAATCGATTAATTGAAGGAAATTGAAAGAATCAATTCCGAATAATCGATTCTTTCTTTAGCAATTTGTAAATAAGATTATAATGGATACAATAATTAATAAAATATGTAACAATATTTGTAGACGAGATACAATATATAACTAAATCAATTCACTGATTTCAGAGAAAATATAATTATTGTTTATTATAATTTATGACTTAAAAAACTTTAAAAACTCTTCATTTAATAACATTATGGCTGCTTTCTTTTTAAGAGACAATTGATACAAATGTCGTTCTATATATTTTTTTGTTATTCATTGAAAAAAGTTTTTTTTGCTTTAATATTGAAATAACTCGTGAAAAAAATTATACAGAGCTTAATAAAAGAGCAAATTAAAGGTAAAGATTCACTCTTTCGAATGCTGTAAACCGCATTTGTGTACATACAATTTTTAATTCGCGCCGTAGAACTTTGCAAATTTCGTAAAAAATTTTAAGATTTGATCTTATCTTTATTTATGTTTGTGTAATTCCATGAAATAGATTAGTAAAACTGTTTTCTAAAATACCGACTTGAAAAGTAGAGATTTCAAGCTGTAAAAAAATGCTTTTTCAAACATTTCGATACAATAATTTTTTACAAAGTTCTTCTATCTTGAAATTTGCATATTTTTGCGGTAGAATAGATGGTCCTTTAATTTTCTTGAAGTGTATTAGGTAAAATTTAATATATTGATTACTGATATTTGATCAAGAGTTTTATATCATTGTGTAAAAAAATCAAGTAGGATCGATTGTATGGCGATGACGATATTGATTTTTCTTCATTCGGTCTTATAAAATTTTTCAAACTGTTCATTGCATTGAGGAAGAAGAGAAAAGAAGAGAAGCAATTAAAGTGTAATTTTTGTATCTTTTGGCAATGGTTAGTGATTGCCATGCACTGATGCATAATGAGATAGTACTATGCCGGTGATTAGCGAACTTATAGTGGCGAACAATTATTTGATGTGAATATAGGGGCAAATTGAACACTATCAGACTAACTCGAGCAATGAGCAACAATAAATATATATTAGCCGCACTGAAGATCAGCCATCAACGAGCTCAACCTGGCTATTCCAGCATTTCTAGTTAGTCGAGTTTGCTTTAGCATGGCTCAGCAATGGAAAGCCGGCGCGCGCAGAAATCAATGCCGTAAATGTCAAAGCATGCGCTCAAGGATAAGAAAAGTACTTGGCGTACGTAGTGCAAGGAAATAAATATCATAGTGATCAGGGTCCGGGATCAAATCATTTTGCCGGCAGGAAGCGAGCACTCGCCCGTTCACGTACCATGGATTAGAAGACCTTGTCTAAGCACCAAGTCGCCGTTCTCTCTCTTCGAACTCTTCACCAATTCCTCTTCTCCAGCAATATGGACGAAAACTTGAGCCGGGGATACGTCCAGCTGGGCAAAGCCAGGGGCATGAATGAGTTCAAATTCTCAAATGGATTCACGCATCTCTCACCACCAGTTGACAAATGCAACTTCATTTACATGGCTCTGATTCTCGGCGGTATAGGTTTTCTTCTGCCTTATAACAGGTCCTGCGTCAAACAACACATTATATTTTATA